AAAACACTTGTGGGAAGAGCACACAGGACTATGGTGATGGCACATGGGTGAATTGGTGGTGGGAAGTCTATGGGGGTTACAACCGAGATGAAACAGTATACATTGTACAAAAATGAAGAATGACATAAAAAATATTAAAATAAAAAATAAAATAAATGCAACAAAAAAAGAGCTCTTAGCACAATCCTTGTAAACTTGTTCTTCCATTGCATTTCTTCATTCATCAGCACTAGTGTCAAATAACTAGTGGGGAATTTGGGAGAATGAGACAGAGAAAGCTTCTGTCCTCTTGGAGTTTGTCACATAGCAGGGAATTCAGAGAGCAAATGAGTAAATGTCCTTAATTACACATGTTTTTAATGAGGTTACAGAGCAACTAAGTAGAATGCAAAGTCAGAGGGGATGAGAACAGTGCTCTTCTTTTATTTCCCAAGAGATGATCCCGGAGACTTAGGTGAGGCTGACCTGGGGAAAGAATATTCCAGATGCTGCCAGCTGTAAGTACAAAGGCTGTGGAATGGAAAAGCCAGGTGGAGTGCCTCTGACACAGAATCAGCATCAGATGCACGCAAAAAGCCTAGAGAGAGACGCGCCAGTCATAACGACCACCGATTTCTGTATTTAGAGCATGCTCAGTAAATGGTAGACAAAATTACTGTCATCTCTGAGCTTCAGTTTTTCATTTGCAAAAGCGGGCTAACATGAGCTATATCAAGGACTGGGGGCCAGCAGGATGGGCATGTGTTCAAGGTGGGTGTGCACAGTGTTTCTACCTGTGTCTCATCTTTAAATTCACCTCCATCAGCTGCTCCCACCCTAGAACTGGAGTCAGCATGAGTGAGAGGGCGCAGGGCTGGTGGGTGGTAAGGAATCAGCAGGAGAGGTGGGCTTGGTGGAAGGAGGAGTGGGGAGAGTGGAGGTTGGGACTGGACTTTGCACAGGGAAGGCCAGTGAAAGAGCAGGAGGCCTGCTGGGGGCCTTGTGTGGTCACAGGGCGGGAGGACTCAACAGAGACCCCGTGGGCCCCACGTGTGAGCTGAGGGATGTTGGGTTCCTTCTCATGGTGGAAATTCACAGAGACACTTTGTTCCTATGAAGCCCTGCTCCACTGTAACCTAATCAAGTCTTGACATTTGAATTTCGAACTAATTTTTGGGAAATAACTTTTCAGATTCTCATCATATAGTACTTGTTCAATATGAATAGATATAATTACTTTGCTGGAGTGATTAGCATACCCAAGAATAACTATAGACTTTCCCCAATTTTTACTTTTAGATAAATGTCAAATATCTTCTTTAAAGTGTATTTGATTTCCCTTTCCCCCCAAAATCATTAAAAAGTAGTAAAATACGATGAAGGTGCAGGAAGTGCAGGGAAATAATGGGGAAAGTCAATGAGAAGAAAGCCAAGCTGACCTGGCACAGAAACATTTCTCAGGAGTGATTTTTGTCACCAGGAAAGCAAAAGCAATTAACACAGATTTCATCTAAAGGAGAGCAGCAGCAAGTGGCTGTGTTTTTCCCAGACATTTCTAGAAGCCAACACCGAAATGGAATGGTCGTTTGTTCTGAATGGGAATCCTTTATGGTGTAGTGAGCACACAGGCCTGAGATCAGGGCCCTGTCACGGGGGGTCACGGGGCAGCCTGGCCTGGCAGGGTGTACCCTGAGCTCAGTCTGCTTTGACCTAGGAACACCACACTTGCCTCAGGCATTGTTTGAGTGTGTGAGAGGGTATATTGGATGCAGGCACTTACGCTGGCGTGGGTGGGGCCCTCCAAAGAGCTCAGTCTACTTCCTTACACATCTTCAGATCAGAAGAGATTGGCGGTATGGGTGGGAAGCAGCACTGAGCTCTCTGGAGACTCACTCAGCCAACAATACAACCGAGTGTCTGTCTATTTTTACATATTGCTGCTCTGCAGGATAAACTGGATCACACAGAGTACTTGGCCTCACTTTGACAACATAAAACATCCTGAGGTCCTTAATACCACTTCGCAAACCAGTACCACTTTGCTTTCTGGATGCGCCATGGAATTAACCTGGGTCCTCTCAGTGGGTTCAACAAGAGTGAATGAACTTTTACCTGCCCTATGCTAGAATCTCTTATCCCTATTAATTAGTTAATTAAGACAGAGTAAATATAATTACTGTTCTCACAAAAATAAAATGGATATATCATCTTCATGTAGCCCCAAATCATGATTCTTTGTAAATGATCATCTTTACCAGAGTTTGGAAACAAGGCGTGCACACGTGTGCACACACACACACAGATAGTCCCACGGTATTCCCTTTAAGAAAGGTTCTTCTTCCTCCCCAATACTTTCAGATGGCCTGTACAGACCATATAATGATGATCACTCTCTTTAAACACTCTCCCCAAGTCTCACAGCCAGCCGTACCATTCACAGGGTCAGGAAAAGGAACCACAGGATAAAACAGGCGAGGACAGGAGATGGAGAAAAATGTGTTTGTGATAAAGCTGAATGAATCCCATCTTCCTTTCCCCCACTTTCTGGGAGGATTTCTCTTAGAGGCTTTTGCTTTTTTACAAATTGTTCTTTGAGTGAAATAATCTCTAGGCTACCAAGTGGCAGCCACTTAGATCCCTGGAACTTTAAGTGTACATTTACTGAAACAGGAGAAATTCCAGCAGCTTCTCCCCATGCCCAGCCTGCTCTTTTCCTACTGCAAGCCTGCCCTTTGGGAGAGACCTGGCCATTATGTGAGCCAAATGGGTATCTAACCAAGAGAAGCCTCATCAGCAAATCAGTCTCTCAAATGTCACCCGTGTCTCCAGCCTCTGCTATAGCAGGCTCCTGGGAAGGGATGCTTCTCTGCATTTTGAGGACTACACATAAAATCCGGGTGTTTTTCACAGTTCAGGGCCACACTTCATTATACACGTTAATGAACTGTATTAAAATTCTCAAATGAAGCCTTAAGATAAAGGGCTGCTGGTTATATCTATTTACCTTTATAGTTCTTTAGTGGCTGACATCACCTCAACATCCTTGCTTTCTTTAGAGAGAGATAATTATAATATTTAAAGATTGGCTAATGCGACCCAATGACAGCCTCACAGTAAGGGGCAGATACTCTTCCCTGAACTGGAGAAGCTGCATTTCCTAGCATAGGAAGCACTAGGTGGCATGAAGGAGGCTGAGTGTCCTTGTTTGTACAACTCTGGGAATTCCTCCTCTAAAGTGGCAGGATTACACTTCATGATGTCTGGGATGGTTTTCCACTGAACCTTGAAATACATATTATGCTTCAAATCTGGTCATAGCATGAAGGATAGAATTGGACTTCCAGTGGGGAATTTTGTGTAGTCTGTCTGTTGTACAGCTATGTAATAAAATAAGTGTTACCTCCATGAAAGGTTATTAAAGAAATAAATAGGCTCTACAGTGGAAGGATCAAGGGGAGAATGGAGACATCACATTGAGTTTTCCTAATTGGGCACTTCAAGTTTAATTAAAAACTTGACTTTGAACTCAGTGGCTGCAGGGAGATACCCTTCAGTTTTGAGAGCGCATTGGAAAGTCAGACCCATCACCTCTCTGGGAGCTTTTGCAAGTGCCTGCAATCCACAGCTCTGCCTATTGCACAGGATGTTCTGTTTTGAAGTTAGTGCCTTTTACCAGCCAGCCACACAACAGACCTTTCAAACTTGGGCGTGCCATAGAAGCTTGTGGCATTTGAGAGGAGAACAGTTCCTGATGCCACTTAAATTCAAGGAGATACTGTTTGGGCCACATAAATACACCTTGGGCATTTTTTCCTAACTTTCCCATTTCAGTTCCCTAACCTTCTTTTTAAAAAGATTTATTTACTTATGCACACAGAACTGGGGTACGGGCCAGAGATGCAGTGGCAGTGAGAGGCTTCACCAGAGACAGAGTGGGGAGCAGAACAGGTTGACTGATGAAGTACATTGGTGAGGGGAGCAGTGGTTGGGCCAGGAGAGGTCTGCTGCACCATGTGGGTCACCTCTGGGGTAGGAATTGAACTCATGCTGAAGTGGTTTTAGCTTCTCGGTGCTGTGCTTTAACCCAATGAGCCACCAGGAATGGCATTGTCCCCTGCCCCCCAACCTTTAATCAATGCTTCTATTTTGAACATCTGGCTAGCATTTCTGATGGAGTATCTCTATGCCAGACTTTCTCAACCTCAGCAGTCCTGATAATTTAGGCCACCCTGGTCTTTGTTGTAGAGATGGTCTATAGATTATAGGCTGTTTTGAAGCACACCTGGCACACTCACTCCCATAAATTATGGCAACCAAAAATGTCCCCAGACATTGCCAGCTGCCCCTAGAAGGTATACATCACTCGTCTTTGCTTTGGCTTTTGAAATCTGAATCTTCATTCATGGGCATAAGACTGGTGCTGTTTCCTGAAGTGCTCAGATACTATTACTCTGTTGTTGATACCATTTCTAACATCTCTCTCTCACTCATAATTTCACAATTTCCCAAGTGTTTTCACCCACGTGATCCCTGGAGACGAATACATGGCAGTTCTTGTCTATAACAAATTAGAAGACAGTGGCATCTCTTCGGTGATGGCCTGTGTCCCTTTTCATGATACTTGGAATTCCGCATGTGTGCTAAGGAGGTCTTGCCAGGAGGAAGAGGTATTTAGGACAAGCCAGGTATTGTGTAAATGGAATCTAGTTGAGTATCTTCAAGAGACAGAAGAAGAAATGCTTGACTACCTGAGAGGATAACCTTTCAACCTCCGCTGGCATATGCTCTATTTCCCTCCTGAGTGATATGTAGAACCAGTTGTCTACACTCGCATAAAGACAGGTGGTTTCAAGGAATCCCAGAGTCCTTTGGATCTTTAAAATCATTCTGAAAACTGCCATCTTCCCCCAACTGGATGGCTGTTGTGTGCTCTTGCTGCACCGAATGAAACCAGCTGGCATTTTTGTGAACAAGAAATGAACATTTCCCCCACACCTCCCAGCTGTTCCCGTCCTCCTTACCTGCTTGAGGATTTCAGCAGCTGTTTCGTGCGAACAATCAAATATCACATAGAACTCCTTGCCCTTCTTCATCTCCTTGAGTAAAGGCTTGGCATCTTTATTCCCAGAGGGCAGCTGGCGGATTTTGATTTTAATGTTATATCTGGAGGGAGCTTTGATGAGCTCTTGCAGACGAATTAGACCTGAAAAATGACATCCAGTGATGCAAAAGACTTTTCTGTCAAAAGAGTTTATTGCCATTTAGAGTCAAACTCAGATCATTCCCAAAATGTACCAAGAGGCCACCCACCTAAAGGTTTCATTATTGACTTTTTCATTTGTCATCCCTCTTTCTGTGTGGATTATGCTGCATTTTCCTCCTGCAGGGATCTGTGGCTTGGAAGCACAACTTTCCCAAATGCATTTTGAATTTACTTAGAATGCAGTTGTCCTCTCCAGCTTTTAGCCAAGCCCCCAACTCTAACAAACCAAGTCAATAACTATAAAACTTTTGTAAAGAAGTTGCTTGAAATTTCCAACAATGCCCCAAGACATGGATGTTACCAGCTCACTAATAAAAGCCAAGAGCACACAAAAATTTCTTGTAAGGTGAACCTCTGTAAACTTCTCATAATATATTTCTACACAACATACTATTTACCTGTGAGTTAGCTAAGCTGCTGCCAGTAACTTTCCAGTTCCTGCCATATGAACTGTTTATAAATGAGTCATTATTTTCTGTCTAATATGATTTAAATGTTGAATTCAAAATTCCTTCCTTGACAAGAAAAAAAAAAAACACAGACAGATTTTTTAGGGATTATGATAATAAAAACCCAACAGTTTTTTTTTTTTTTAAATCAACTATTGGCGATTATAGGAAGGGATATAGAGCAATGAACCTCAGAGAATGTTTGATTTGTCCCAGGGATGAGTCGCTCAGCTGTATCATTTTTTTTAATGGATGTGCTCTATGAGGGCAAGACGAACAGATATAATATCTCCATCCTATTCCTCTCCCGGTGCTTGCTTCCCTGCATGGTGTTGAATCTCCCTCAAGGATACCCACCACACTGGGAAATGGACTTTGTCATTCATTGCACAGTTCTGTGCCTTTAAGATGTGTCAGTTTCAAGTCATCAATAGGAAATATTAAGCATGATCAGCACTCAGATGGAAATTGTGTATGCAGTGTGTCAGAGACAATCTGGAGTCCACAGACTTTGGGCCTGATGCTTTTCTTTCATTTTCTTGTTTTATGTGTTCAGTTATCTTCCTCCTAAGAGCCTACCATTTTGTTAAAAGTTTCCTTGAACGCTATGGGTAGATTTGGTTTTCATGTTCAGTAAATTTGTGACTGATACAGGCTTTAGAGTCAAATGGAGGAGGTCAGTGGGGAGAAGAGTATATGAGCCTGTCAAGATTTAGTCATCATTTAATATTTTGGGGGGCAGCCATTGGAATGGTAACCTTCCTTGTCATTACATTTGAAGTCATTGGAATGATAAACCTTCCTTGTCATTACATTTGAAATCATTAGAATGGTAACCTTCCTTGTGGACTCTTGCATTTTTGCAAGTCAATCGATATGGCTGTCATCTCTCATGTACTGATAGTGAGATGCCATTTATATCCAGACACTTGTCCCGAATCACTGATGAATACTGAGAATGCAAGAAGATCAAGCACTCAGATGTGAATATCAGTGATTCCTTACGTTGGCTCACCCTCTCAAGCCTATGAAGCAAGTGTATTTGCTTCATTATTTCAAATAAGGAAGCCAAGGCTTAGAGTAAGTAAGTTACTCAAAGGCACAGGATGGTTAGGAGGAGCCTGTGATTCAAACTGTTGTCTGTAGGCCTCACCAGTGGCCTGGGTGTTAAGTTTCAGGCTATTATCACCATGGCCTGAGTTTGCTTCCTGGTCAGGGAGCTGACCCACAGGGTCAGCAGACATCTCCTGTCTCCACACTGCTCCCCTCAGCACTGTATTTCAGTAGATCTGCCTGTTCTACTCCCCACTCTGTCTCTGTGAATCCTATTACCACCTGCACCTCTAGCCTGCTCTCCAATTCTTCTATACAAATACATAAGTAAATACAAATTAAACATTTAAAACAAACTGTTATCTGTGAGTCAAGCACATAGTCTTCCTACTTCACTGTCCTGCCTCACACATGCAAACGTGGGTGTGCAGGGAACAGAACTTTGGATTGTTTGAGGAGGTAGGGTAAGAACTGAAACAGGGATCTAGCCTTCTTTACCCCAGGATGCTGAACATCTCTCTGTTTTTTTTTTCCTATTGTCCTGCTTTGCAAACACATACAATTTATTATTTATTTATTTTTTAAAGATTTACTTATTTATTCATAGAAGAACTGGAGTGTAGGCCAGAGGTATGGAGAGTGAGAGGATTCATCAGAGACAGAGTGGGGAACAGAACAGGCACATCCACTGAAAGATACTGCTGAGGGGAGCAGCAGGCAAAACAGGTGAGGTCTGCAGTGCCACATGTGGCCAGGGATTGAACTCAGGCCATGGTGGTGACAGCACAGACATTTAACTCTTCGGCCACCTGGGAGGCCGGCACATATAAATGTTTTAATGCATGGCCACAAGGGAGATTAATGTGGCCTTTTAATAAAACAGGGGAAAGCATTTCATATGCTGCAGTAAACTGCCCGTTTGTTCTTTGCTGAATGGAATGTCAGTCTGAAGTGAACCTCCCTATCCTGAGGACTTAAACACACACTCCACACTTCATTCATTCGTGCTTATGGGAAAGATAGTTCTTGGATGCTAATTACTGCCCCACCCCACACTCAGCGCTAGCCTGGTGGGTGGACACACCTGCTGTAAGTTCCTCACAGCCTGTGGGAGGATTTCATCACATCAACTTTCATGATATGGAAGGGTATCAACTACTGCTCAATTTCATAAGTTAGGAGCATAAGCTGATAGAAGCCAGTCAAAGATTTAGAGAGACTGAGCTTCTGACTCCAAATGTTTTTAAGCAAATCAGGGTCCACTCTTCCGTTTCTAAGTTGCAGATCAACTAACACACTGAATAATACTGCTCATATAAATAAATAACTACATAGATAAAATTTAGACTAACATAAAGCATTCAACCTTTATTTGTAAATGAGGTCGTCAGTAAATGTCAGTAAACATGTCCCCTCACTCCACCTCCCAGTGACTCTGCACTTTCACAGTAGTTTCACAAAAAAAAATTATTTCAATATAAAAGGAGGTGTCAGGAGAACAGTTCATTACAAAAGACCAGTTTCCATGGGACTAGATTTATCCTCAGAAGTACTCACCACTCAGTCCCTAATTATCTCATTTTTCTGCATACAGGAGAATTGGCTCAGAAAAAGGACCAGATCAGCAGGTTTGAAGCTTACAGACCCAAGTTGTAGGAAGAACAATGAGCAAGAAATAGTGAAGCTTACATTTCTCTTCCTAAAGCAATTGGTTGCTTAAAAATAGTCTTCATTAGCAAACAGTATAGAATTTACAATTACTCAGAGGCTTTTTTAGTTTGCAGGAGACAGAATTTAGAGAAAGCTTTCCCTTACACTTGATTGTAATGAATAGTTTAAAAATGATTTGCTAAACAAATAATGACTTCAGGGAGAGAAAATGATCGAGGCACACCCTTAACTTTGCTAGTGGCCCTCCAGGGAGGGAGGGACCCGGGTTGCCTGCCCCAAACTCCACCTGAGGAGAGCAAGGTATATACCATGGTAACCAGAAGTGGTGTTCTTAGCCCATGGTGCTGTAGGGGCTGTGCAGTAAAGAGACAATGAAACCAATATATTTGAGAGATACTCTGCAAAACCACCAACACAACAAAAAACTGACCTGAATTCTGCAAAAAAGGACAAGAGCATGAAAGATGAAGGAACGCTGAGCTGCTTTGCACCAAAGGAGATTATGACAGCTAAATGCAGCAAAAGATCTTGTAGTCAAAGAGCCCGGTGGCATGGGGTGGAATCTTATGCTCTCAGTGATGGATGAGGCACGGTAACTTACATCTGAAGAGGTGTGAAACTATGAGCTGTCAGTCACAGGCAGTGCTTTGGACACTGCTGCAATAAACAATGATCGTTAAAAACTGTTATTGGGCAAGTAGAAAACCAGAATATGTTCTGTATTTATATCTATCTACCTACCTACCCAGCTCTCCCTCCTCCCCTCCCTCCATCCATCCTGTGTTGTATTAGTACTAAGTTTCATCCCTCTCTTCACTGTAGTAGAGCTATAGTGAAGAAAGTCCTTGTTCTTTAGAAATACACAACGATCTGTTTAGGGATAAAAATGTCATGATGCCTGCTGCTTACTTTTAAATGGTTTGCCAATATTACCACTTATTATGTTGAGGGAATTCTAAAGCATTAAAACAGTGTGGTCAAGTGCAAATAACTGATGGATCTGGATGAAGGGTGCACAGGAATTCACTGTACATTTCTTGCAACTTTTCTGTCAGTTCAAATCTTAATAAAAAAGACAACTTTTGCAGACAAGGAACAATGTCAGAAGAGGCTCCTTCCTCTACTCTCATCTCCAGGAATGGAATTGGAAACTTCACCTTTGGCTGGCAGTGACTTTAGTGCAAGGCGACTGTTTATTTCACATGCGCTTGAGCAGGACTCTGCATAAACAGATAATTTCCAAAATGTCCAAAAGGCCCACGCTTCACACTTGCTGTGGCCACCTCTCTCTGCTCTCAGAACTGACAGAGAGATGCTGATTTGCATGCACGTGGAGCAGCTCTGAAACAGGTAGAGCATATGGAGGGGTAAAGCAGAACCTGCTGTTTCCAGTGGGTGTTTAAAATTTCCTGTGCCCCCTTTAATAATAATAAACTTTGCTATTTACATTGCACCTTTTTATGAAGTATGCGACGTTACTTATAAATAGTTCAATGAACCTCGGAATACACCTGTGAGGTGGCTAGGTGTCATGGCTATTTTAAAAGAAGGAAAGTGAGGTACAGGAAGGTTAATTGTTTGGATCGGCCCTGAAATGAGTCACAGATGCCAGGAATTGGAAGTGACCTTAAAGGTCAAAGCCCTGCTTGATGTATGAATCCCCTTACACAGCTGCTGCTGAACACCCTCTGTTTGGGAAATTCTCTACTTCACATTGCAGCCCCATCCACTTCTGGACAGCTTTGGTTGTGTTTAATGAGTATTAGT